CAAACAAACTCTTGAAGCTCCTGCCTCCCAAAGCTCAATTTGAATGTCACGACACATTTGCATGTTGCCCACGAGCTGACGGCTTTGCTTGACATTGGCCAGCATGTCCCTCTGTATGTCCGTGTTTGTGTTTGTGCTTGGGTGGGGAGGGGTAGTGAACCAACATTTTGGCCCAGGGCAAGGTCCTTGAGCTGAACTTCAAGCACAGCCTGCTGAAGGACCGGGCCGTGCCATGCAGCACTGGACTCACTGGACGTTGTGTAAACATGACGCAGCCGTCCAAAATATGATGCATCAAGGCCGCGGAATAAAGGGGCTCCAAGTGCATTGTTTTGATGAGAATGTCAGCCCTTCATGATGGGCACTCATCCATGGAGCCAATGATCTTGCGCAGAAGCCTTGCAAGATGCCACAAGCCAGGGTCCCATTTGTTGTTGACGGGGATTGACACATGCTTACATCATGCTTGGCCTTGTGTGAGTTCTAGCAGGCCTTCAAATTTGGAGAAACATCTTCGATCCAAAGCCACGCAGTGGCTGAGAACTGTATCATGCACGGCTGCAACGAGTGCACAGGAAACTGGGTTTCCCTTACCAGTTTGGCTTGAACACCTCCTCTGCTCAGGAGCTCGGGAGACACAGCGCCTTCCAGGCAGGGCACGGGAGATTGCAGCGTGCGGGCTGGGGGGAATGATTTGGCTCTGGGTCAAAAAAGTGTACCCAAAATGGAACCCTGGTAAGTGGAAACATGGACTTAACCCTGCGGTCCCCTGGTAGTTTATTAATTTTGACCCAAACCCATTTCTGGCCGATGTCGAGGAATCCGCTTTGAACCAAGACGCCAGGCACGTTTTCTGGCCATCCGACCGGCGACTGGGGTATCGTTTCAAGAAGCGATTTGGGAAGTCTGATCCACCAAGTGCACGTCTTTGTTTTCTGTATTGGCAGCGGAGGGTGCTCATGATTGATGAGCATTGCATATGTTTTGAGGTTTCGTCAAACCCAACTTTACCTGTTTGGAGAGCCTCAAACCCAAAAAGTTAATTTTAGTTTAATGACCAGCGGATGTCGCCTAGATCTGTTCCTGCATTGTCGGCGTTCTATGAAGTGGTATGCGATTGATGGTTTTAAAGTTAGACCATCAAACACCCTAACACCCACCAAGAGGAGTCCCTAGGCCCCAGGTGCTTTCAGCTTGGATCCCGCATGGACGGGAGCAGGCCTCGGCCGGGGACGACGCGCTGGCGCTGGATTTGTCCAGGCCGACAACATAGTGGCTTGCAATATGGGTGTGGTTCCTTTTCGGGAACCAGCTTTTCGCTTGTTGTTTCAGGCAAAAGGAACCAAGACACACCCATATAGGCGTCAACGCAGCGGAACGCAAATGCGAAAGCCAACCATTTGAACAGGCAGGTCGGCTGTTTGAGAGGCAGCCAACATCATGCAGCTACATAGAAAGCCCCGATGTTCCCCCCATCGGTTGCATTTCCTTTGCACCAGCGTTTTGAGAGTGTGATCAAGCAAGGCAGTTTTCGTAACATGCAACGCTAGCCTTGCTGAGAACACCCCGATGATGTTGTATGGAGTGCAACATCACCCAGTCCTGATTGCCTGTTTGACTGTTTGCCTGTCACTTTGTGTGCCTGTGCTTGCCCGCTTGCTTGTCCGCTCGCTCGCTTGCTTGCCTGCCTGCGTCCCTGCCTGCTTTGTCTCCCTTGTGAATCTGTTAGCCTTTGCTTATGGTCCCCCCGGCTGCCTCTTTGTCCGTGTTTGTATCTGCTTCTGTGCCTTTGTGTTTGTATCTTTGCGTTTGTGACTTTGTTTCTATGTCTTGTACTTGGGCAGTACATCGTGCAAGCAAGCAAACATAAACTCCATGGTTACACGGCTATCTAGAGTGCGGTTGCATTGCATGGTACTTTCATGGTCCATGAGGAAACGTGCAGTTCTTTGAGAGCAATACGCCCCACAACCAATGGATGCCAATGTGGAAGTGCACTTCTGAGTCTGGAGTCACAAGAACTTCACCGCAGGGATGCTTGGCTGGACTACACGTATCAACCCCCTTAATCTCTATCAGTCCTTTCAAAACCTGGTCAGCCATCCCCTTGGCTTGTTATCTTTTTAGGTTTTAGTGGGGATTTCCATTGAACCCGGACCTGCGGAACGGCGAAGACACGGTGTGTTTCCCATCCTCCCTGGAGTTTTCATGCCAGGCTGCTGCAGGACTTGGCGGAGCTCGAGGCCGCGGAACCCGACGACCCCAAGTGGGCGGACGCCTGCGAGAGGTGCCAGGAGCGACGGAGCGAGGTCCTTTCCCCGGCCGAAGGATTTGGTCCACTTCTCACTTGCTGAGTTCATGGACTTGAAACTCTTTGTGAAGACCGTTTGAGTGGCAAATCACTAGTTTTGACTTTTTCTGGCCTGTCAACGCAGGAAGTGAGGCTTGGAAGGCCTCAAATTGAAGAGACCAGCAAAGTGGGGCGAAGATACGGGGATCCCCCGGCCTCAGCTTTGGAATGAGGCCGGGGCATTTTTTGTGGTTGGACACTTTTGGACTAGATGTGGGCCATATGGCCAAGAGTTTCGATCTCAGGAGGTTTTCCTGCTCCGATCTCAGGAGCTTTTGCAGGCGCTGAATGCCGATGTCGAGACCAGCGAGGAGGTTCCCGCGCTGGGGAAGGCGGCGGAGGAGGAGGCGGGACATGGGGATGCCGGCTCCGAAATCGAGCAAGCAGCTCGATAAAATAGTTTCCTGTCCAGTGTGCCTACTCACGTGTGGACGAGAGGGCGAGGAAATATTAATACAGAATAGGTTTTCCAGCACATGTTCGATCAAACGGCCTTGCCTTGCCTTGCCGAGTTGCTTCGAGCTACTGATGGCTTTCTCAATGCATGTTGAGTTGGGAAACCTTACCAGTCTCAGGTTGGGCAAATGTGGCTTGCACGGCCAGACCACGAACCCTTTGAAGAGAGATTCCGGTGCCATGAAGACGAGGGAAAAAGGCATTGGATTTCCTCAGTGCTTTGACATTTGCCAGGCAGTTACAGAGCGAGCAGAGATCAGTCCAGCCAAGGCAGGGTCTGCCAATGCATCAATAGAGGCCAAATGTGTTTATGTTTCCCCAGGATGTGATGCCCATGCTGTCACGAGTGCTCGCAGCAGTGTGTGGCAGGCATCGGACATCGTGCTTTCCTGCGGCCGATGTGTTCGTATTGTGCGACCTGATCGTGCCCGACGGGCGATGATCACCTTTGTCGATGAGGCGCAGCGATTTTATCGACCAACTTCGGAAGCGTTTAGCGACTGCAAAGGACGCCCAGACAGTGGACGTGCTCTACCCAAAGCCCAAGGGCTGTGAGAAGCAGGACGCCCCACAAATGCACCCATTCAACAAGCCAGTTCTTGTTTATTGAAAATGTGCAGGAGGATGAGGAGGAGGGCGTTGCTGTCAAGTTGGTGCAGGCGCTTCAGGCCGGCGCTTTTGTTCACGTCGAGACAGCCCCGTTACTTTTATATCTTTTATGGTTTGTTTGAATGCCTCTCGTGCCAAAACCAGATGTCGACACTGCAAGTCACTTGAGCTCATGTTCCAGTGGCCTAAGCGGGCCTAAGGACTTCGAGCAGTCAGGCCCCATTCTCTCAGAGGACAGAGCCGGCGGGTGGGCGAGCAGTTTGAGCTACCACGTAGTCGGGTCACCTTACCCGTGAAAGGGGTGCGAATACTTCCATTTGCTTAAGAATATGGTTGATTTTCCCTTGTTGGCTTTAAAAGGAATTTATCACTACTGGAAATATATATTTTTCCAGGGGTCTTAACCAAATGAAAGAATAGAGGCAAACGCCCAGCCTGTCAAAGCGCCCAAGCGCTTCGGATTCGAAGGGGCTCGGATTCACTGCTGCGAGGACAGCCTGTACAAAGCTGCCAGCGCTGCCAAAGAGCAAGGCAATCAGCGGCTTGCTTCATGCTAGAGTTACCCATCGTTTGGCTACCCCCCCCAGACCATCTCAGGGTTTCTCAAGAGCCTCAAAATGGCAAACCGACAACACTTTCCTTTTGGTTTCCCTTCTTCCAAAAAAAGAGGGTGTCGAACCTCCATTTTGAGAACCACTCTTTTCGTGGGGTCCCTCTCAAAACGGCAGACCGACAACAGCTTCCTTTTTTTTCTTTCCAAAAGCGTGTTCGGAACCTCCATGTTGAGACCCACTCAAGGAGTGCCTCCTTTTGGATTTCCTTCTTTCAGAAGAGGGGTCCGCTCCTTCTTTTTCTTTTAAAGAATCACTCCTTGCCATGGGGCCGCCATGCTGCCTCTTCCACCTCTAACCTCATTTTGAGAGCCACTCCCTGCGTGGCGTCAAGCTGAGGCTCTTCAAGCTCAAGGACTTCGAGGCGGCGGCGGAGTTCTACTCCGCCGGCATAGCCGGCTTCGCCCAGCGCCCCATCGCCCAGGGCGAGCAGGTGCTGATGTGCCTCGGAGTTGGTCTGCCGCGTTCGGTTTGGGGCCGTTGCGTTTAAGTGAGCCTTTTTTGTTGAGGGACTTGGGGTGAGCCCGTTTTTTTTGGAGGACTTGGGGTTGTCCAGACCAAACAAGAGGAAACCAGCGCTGGTTTCCCTTTGGTTTCTCTTTAAGAGGGTTTGGCTAAAAGTCTAAAAGCGACAAACACTCACTTGCGAGTCTGCCAAAAGGAGTCAACGCCCTCTTCCCTCCAAGAAATCGGAGTATACCTCGTGTGGGGGTGTAGAGGTACGTTTGACACATGCCCATGACACGAGTTGGGCCTTTTCAAGAGGCAATTCCTGGTGTATCCACTGCCGGAACAGCAGAAAACAGGTTGATTCGACAGTTCTCCCTCCGCCCATGTCAAAAGGCGGTCGTTGTATCAGATTTTGAGGACTGTGCCTGAACATTTGAGCTACGATTCGGGCTCGGACCATTGTATTCTCATGGGAGGAAATGGGCTGAACTCTGACTGATGACCCATGAATGGACAGACATCCACTGTTGTTTGGACAATATGGGAACCCTCCATGGATTCTCAGCTCCTTGTTTTGTCCATGCTCGGCTTTGTTCATGGCAAGCAGACGAGATCAACTCTGCGCTGGTACAGTCATATGGCGAGCGATTTGTCAGGCTACTCCAATCTCAACTGAGCAAAGTATTTCTCATGGGCCACTGGCTTTGCCAAGCGCTTTCTCAATTACTGCAAGTCACAGAAGTGCCAACTGCGCACCAAGGAAGAACCAAGACACGGAGAAGGCAAGAGCAGCTTATTCGGCGGCTTAACAAATTGGGTCATATGCTTCGAAGGTGCGACCATGTGATTGTGATCCGTGCTGAAGGTCCGAGTGCCAACGACACTGCAATGGTTACCCCTGATTTTGAGGTGTTCATATTTTTCAATATGTCTTCTGGCATGCAGGCAGAATCTCAGAAGCTTGCTTTGTCTTCCAGGTGGGTTTGTCTCAACATAGTACCCCTTTTTGGCTGGTTTTGAACCACCAGGAAGCCACCTAGATTTCCTAGTCTTTGCCAAGAGTGCATGTGAGCCCTGTTATCCACAGCGCCCAACCACAGGTCAAGGGCGGCCTGACCAGAAGCACTGCTGCAACCTCAGAAGTTTGTCCGGCGGGATGCCAATCAAACGTAGCAAAATGATGAACATATGGACTGTGAAGCTCCCAAATGGAGAGGTTTCCCTTTGGATTCCCTTTGAACGCGCCTAAACAGAGTATCCTCGAAATGGAACTGCCACTGCTCACCTTCATCTTTAGGAACGGGGATGACATGCGGCACACACACACACACACACCACGTAGTGACTGTTAAAGGATGGGTTACTGACGCCGACGCATATGAGGTGCGTCAAAATATCCAGTAGTCTATGTTCCATTTGAGAAGGGCATGGGGTACTCAGCAGGTTTTGCACAACCAAATCAAAGGAATCACTTTTTTTCTTCTTCTGTTTTTTCCATGTCGAACATGGCCATATTAAACTGGATGTGAATAGACCGGTGAGTTGCTAGTGAGGGCGTACTGGCCCCAGTTGCACCCCATGTTTGGGCAATACAACAGATGCCTTTCTCAGAAACTCCCTCAATGACATGCACCTGGTGTTTGTTTAAGCAAAGCCGCTGAGATGCATAGCTTTTGCCCACACAAATACTTTGGTGAGATCGCACATGTTTGGCAGCGCAAGTGCGTTTCTCAGGGCAACTAGATATCCCGAGTATGACCCAATGCTTTGCTCAGTTTTCTTGGTTTGCAGTGTATGCTTTGCCACGTTTGCAGACCGTGTGTTGGTACCAGGATCGTCTCTTGGTGGCTCATTGCCTGAATTACTGAACATTGTTGGCATAGCTGGTATTGTTGCTATTGTCGCTGGCGTTCCCATCGAGCAATCGGTCGAGATGCTGACAGCGCTCATTCAAGCTCCAAGGTTCTTTCGATGGATGCGGAGGGCTCGTGCGAGATGATGAATGGCCAAGAAGCTCCAGTAGAGAGCTTATTTTGTCATGAGTAAGTACAACTTGGAACAAGTCTGCGAGATGCTTTGGTCGTTTCCTTGACTGCCATTTGGATGTCTTGGTTTTGATACAGCGCAACCAACCAGCAAATCGATTTTTGTGCAGCAGGGTGTGCATGCCTCATGTGGCAGAACGTACGGGATTGGAGTCGCAGATTCATCCAAGGCAAGTGAGCTTCTACCAGTCTGTCAAGAGCTACTACCACTCCACACGTCTTTGTACATGCGCCTCAGCGCACGGGGCATGGCTTTAGCAGCTTTACAAGTTGGGCTTGAAGCGTGTTGTGTGCTGATTGCTCCGCATGTTGGCTGATGCATAGACTGCATATAGGCGAATCGGTTTTCCCACAGGTCTAAATCTCGTCAGGGTCTGTGATAGCTTAGCACAATCTATCACGAGCTCATTTAGGGGAGGGACTATGAATATGAGCCCGCCCATGCTCACCCGAGAGCAGGTCCGTACTGGGGTGTTCAATGCGGACAGCCGCGTCATAGAAAACTCAAACAACATGACCCACGCAACGTGCATGTCTCCAGCGCACAGCTTCCTAAACCAGGAATCGGGCACGATGTCGACAGAATCTGGGCCCTTGCCTCAGAAAAACCAGCAGCCTCAGAGATGCACCAGTATCACCTGTGAGTCAATTCGCGGACGTTTGCAATCGCCGGATGTTGCGAGCTTCTAAAAACCCTGCCTTGCGAGGTCAACACAAGGAGGCTGCGCAGGACAGACTTCACTGCGTTTCAGTGCTTGGTTGTGGCCACTGTGAGTTGATTGTGAGAATCATGGACTGGAACAGGCAAATCTGGGCACCTGAGAAGCTTTTCAGCTGTTTGGTGAATCACAGCAGATTGGGCGAAGATTGTGTGCACTTGAGGGACTTCATTTGGTTAACTGTTTTCCAGCTCGTTCCTTCCAGTGAATCAGCATTGAAGATCTACTGGCATTGGCATGCGCTCGTGCGCCGTTTTCCTGCGCATGTTAAGCAAGCTGGCAACGCCTTTAGTTGCGAACAGCTGTGCCAGATGCAGTTGCTGCCAGAAGGCCGCCATTTTTTTTGCGGGATATTCCTGCCAACATCCTCCCGACCCGTTTTGCAAGCCGACAGTCGCCGGAGACCCTCAGAGTCCAAGGAAGGCCTGCGCCTTTTCCCAGGACCTCACGGCAGTGCTCGGACTGTGGGAAGCTGCAGCCGCGGGCCCAGGGAGCCAGGACGTGGTTTAGACGAAACCCAATGGGTCAAAATGAATCCACCAGGGAACCGCAGGTTTTATGTAGTCCCTATACCCAAAATTAGGCCACCAGGGGACCGCAGGTTTTAGTCCGTGTTTCCATCAGGGTTCCAGTTGGGGTACCTATTTTTGACCCACAGCCAAGAAAATGAGGGGGTACTCGCCAAGATCACATGTCAATTCGCGCAATGCGCATTGACCGTGGCTCAGGTGTGGCCGTGAATTTCGAAGGGACATATTTTTTGAAAATGTGATTGCTGGATATTAATCCCGAGTCATGTCCACCAAGGGTCAATGATGGCATCAGGTTGCCCAATGAACAAGCAATTCGATCGCCTCTTCCTCACCCACAGAAAGGCAGCAGTTTTTCTTTCTGAGGACAAGCGCTTGCTGCAGGCCTCGGTGATTGCGGATAGCGAGAACGGGATCGGGTTTGGACCTGGTGCTTGAGTGCTCAAAATATGTTTGTTTGCTTTTTTGTTTTTGCGTTTCGGCGGTGCCACATAGGACATGGGCCGCTAGTTGATGGTTTTTGCTGCCAATAATTCGATGTCCATTTGAGGCAGGCGCAAAACTGACACACTGCGCACAGATGCATGGGACATGCCAAAGAAGCGGATGTGAGATGCCTCGCTCCATTGCAGGCTGACCCAGAGATGAAGGAAGCTCAAGAGAAAGGCACCGGCATCACTGTGCGGGGACACGCAAAGAACAAGCCTGCACTGCTTCCTGAGCCGTGCTATGAAGGCCTCTACACTGCAGAGTATCTCCGAGCTCGATCCAGGCCAGACAATTGACGTGAGTTGGGAGCTCCTTTGAGTTGGATTTGCGGACACGTCCCCTGGTCCCGTTCGCCTGGCTCGTGCAGGCTTGCTCGAGGTCTTTCGAAAGCAGCCGCGCAGGACACGCGAGACGAGGGAAGTGAGTGGACAGAATGTGCTTTTGAGCCAACGTGACATCCTAAGGATACGGTTGATTCCTGGCCCCCCGGCACGGCCACCCACCGAAGCTTGCAGCAATCTGGCAACCTCGCAGGCTCCAGCCCACCGTTCACCCTTTTGGCGTCCAACACAAGCAACGTTTTGACGGAGCCTTTAGCATGAACATTTAAGGGTTCTCAGAAAATTTGTTTTGGAGGTTTCCATGTGAGCAGCGCCATAAACCCTGGCAATGCCGCTTTTGACACACGAGTATTCGGCACGGCTCATTTGAAGCATCTACAGCGATCTTGAGGCATTAGCTTCGGGGCTGTGCCCGACCCATTTCGCCAGGATGTGAAGGAGGCACTGGTGCGCAGCCCACCCGCAGCCACAGCGACTTGCCTGCCTTTCGAACGGGTCCTATCGGCCGCAGCAAACCGCTTGGATTCGTGGGGGTTGCATGAGGTTGGTTTGACGACATGCATCAGGTGTTGGTTGCGACGAGCAGTTGATAGGTTTAGGGTTGAACATTGACCAGTTGCAATCCTTGGGGTTGTCTCAAGCCGGGGAACCCCGTATCACCCATAGGTCCCCCTTTGGCCCCCGAATTGCGAATGCTGAGGTGAAGCAGCTCAAGCAGCTCAAAGTGGAGGTCCCCGCATGAGTGAGACCCTGTTTCTTGTTCGGCATGTGTTTGCAAAGTCATCGCGTTTCTGAACACAGGCAGATTGTAATGCAGGAAGGATACATTGACTGCAAGGTTGGTTTTCAGCAAAGATCTTGGAGTGGGAACACATAGCCGAGTGTTTAAAACCAGCGACCCCTCCAAAATGGTTGCCCGGGTGTCAGTTTGCTCGAATAGCATCGCCTGCATGTGGTTCTCCCCTCAGTCCAAAGCAGAGACAGGTGCGGCCGCTTTGTTCAATGGTCTTGAGTAGATTCCTGTAGTTTTATTCTGGCCCGTGGTTGAACCGCCCTGCCTATTTGGGATTGCTGGCCATTGAGGGAACGGCATTTGGGAGCCATGACCATGGCCCACGGCACTGTGGCAGGTTTTCGGAATTCCCCCCGGCCAGGTGACGGCGGCACAAGAGAAGCAGCGCCAGGTGAATGGACCCTTGGCCAAGGAATCCGCAGCCGGCCTTCGCTTGCTCAGGGAATGAGGGGATGACCCCCAAACTGAATCATCCACACGGTTGCAACCTCAGGATGTCTTGGAAGCGTTGGCGAGTGAGGAAGAGCCGTCAGTTCCAAGGATCATATTGCACAAATGCCAGCCCCAAAGTGCATGATCAACTACAGTTCTCCGCTTGCAGTGCCGCATATTTTGCCTGTGGCACATGGCAGCTCTTGACGTTCTTGCCATAAGCGCAGCATAGCGCAGCACTGAGAAGCCTGGCGGCGAGAGAATCACTTCAACTTCGCTCCTTATTGACTTCTTTCTCACGCTATTACTCAGAGCAACGCGAACACTTCACGCCCCACCTTTTGAAGGCTGGCTCAACGGGGCGCTTACGAAGCCCAATGAACCAAATGCATGCAAGGCATGCAAAACCTTCATGACTATTCCGCTCTTTGGGAGATGCAAATCAAACCCAAGAAGCTAATCGTGTGGGTTGTATCTTTGGCTCGGTGCTGCACAGCGTTTTGCGGCTGGACTGTGCCAGCCCCACTAACAGTGGACACAAGCATATTCATGTATTTAAACCGCCTCCTTTCACGGGGAACGTGTGGAAGACGCTTCATGGGCGGAGCCATTGCTACTGTGGATGGACAAAATCCTGCACCACTTTGAATCCATGAGAAACCATGATTTTTTTATATTCACGGGGGGAATCATCCTTCCAGGGTTTCTTGGGTGGTGCAGGATTTCGTCCACCCACAGTATGTTTGGCCTTGCAGTTTGCAGGAGCTGGCCAAGCTGGTGATCTCCCTCCGGGGTGGCCCCCAGATCTCCTGATTCGGAAAGTTGTGCAGCTGGAGAAGGAGACCTGCAAATTGCATGGAGAGGCGAGCTGGAAGGGATGGGGTACCTCAGTCCGAGGGATCCCGTAATTCCTGGATGCCGCCTCACGCCAGAGACTTGTGAGAAACCAGTTGTCAAGCTGAGCTTGGCGAATGACTGGGCAAGAAAAGCTCCGTTGTTTGCATTGTGCACATATCGGTTTTGCACATATCGGGGCACACAGGCCGCAGGATCAAGCTGATGATCATGCAGAGAAGCTGGCTTTCGTCAAGAGACCTGCATGCAACAACGTTAGGTTCTTGCCAACTTTCATAGTGCCACGGAAGGGAGAGGCTTTACATTCACTTTACAGACCATCGATGGAAACGCTGCAGCTGAATGATGTTTTTGCGCAACTTAGGTTGCCAACAAAAGCATCAGTAGGTCAGTTTCGCGCCAATTTGGCGCATGCGATGTCCTATTGTTGGACAGCATACTACGCCCAACAGATATGGCAGCAATGTGGCCATGGGTCAGGACCTATTGGGGCGGATGAACACCCATGTACCACCTATTTTGATGTTCACCAGGGGTACAGGGTTTTGACCCACAGCCACAATGTATGTTCTTCCTTGGGTGGGCTTTGACCAGCCAGCCGACGGGTTCACGGGGACAAAGCTGCCCCAGCTGGCATGAGCCATGGTGTGGCGGTCAGCACGGAGGCCGCTGCTTTCCGGTTTGCATGCTGAGACCCTCAAGGTCGTTTGAAGGCTCTCAGTCTGAGCGAGGATGCTACTTTGATGTTGTAATCACCTGAGGGAATTGCAGTTGCTTGGATGCTATGCAATGCTTCATGTTGAAGGGCAGAGTGTTGGGCACGGATGAAGCCCTGCCTATCAAAACATAAAAGCACATAGACCGGGCATATGTTCAGCGCCCCAACAGAATGCCTTGGAAACTCTTGCCCAGGTGGTTCAGATTTCCTTGCAGCGCCACAGGCGCGTGCAGGGTCCCTTGTGGGCAGCTTTCCATTGGGAGACTCCTTTCCCCTTTTGGAGCCTGCCCCTGCCTATGGACTTCCATGATTGTTGAGGGGAGACCCAAGCTGTAGTCATTGTGCACGGGCTTTGTGTTTTGTTCTTGCGCAGCATCAACTTCTGCGTGTGTTCCTTGCTCTCAAGCTTCAGTGGGAAAGCGGTCTGCCAGTCTCTATGTCTTCCAACTCACCGTGTCAGTTTTTGATCCCAACTCGAGGCACAGTGCGTATCCTCGCCCCCAACTGATCATCCAAAGACTCCGAGAACGATCCCCAGATTTTTGTTGGCGCTTCGGGTTCGCGGCCGCCGAAAGACCGCGGAAAGACCCACCGGCCGCTGCTTGTGGTCGGGTAGTGGGCGCCCCTGCCCCGTTTGCCATCCAGGAGGCCTACGGAAAGGAGATGGCCAGCAAAGACCTGGCTCCTGCCAGGCTGGAGCTCACTGCCATTGCGGGGAGTCCACGACTTTTCTGCTTTTAGGCCGCTTCCGTGATTTGCGGAAAGGGTTGAGGCAGCGCGAGTTCCTGAAAGGCAATGCTTTCTGGCCACAAGGCATTCTTATACGCAAGTTCTAGATGTCGGATTGGCCGAAGGTTTCATCCAAATGCAATTTCCAGCATCCCTTACCAGTCACCTAGCTCGAGGGAGTTCATTGGCTTCAAGGCTTCTCCTGGGGCCCTCCGTGGCAGTGGCAGCCAAAGATCTGGCAGCCGCAGGCTGGTCGTCCGCATGGACAGTTCGCATCACGTGTAGCCACCTTGGGAAGGTGTGCCGAATCCGGTCTTTGCTTAGTTTCCAGCACAAGGGGAAGCTAGACATCAGTACGCCCATGGCAGACCTGAGGCTGAATGTGGACATGTCCAATGCGCTTGAGTCTCGAAGACAGACTTCAAGTTCCGTCCTCCATTCGAAAGGCGCGGCGCCCAACGAGCTCCTTACGAAGAGTTCATTTGCAGGAGACTGGCAGGGAGAGCCTTTGAATGGAGTAGGCCTGGACCCACCAATCAAAACCGCAGGGGCAAATTCAGTTGCTCGGAGGCTGAGCTTTGGATTGTAGCTGTAGCTGAATCATTGCTTCTTTTGCCGGCAGTTTAAGCCTCGGCACCTTGCCGAGGGCCGAAAGGTTTTGCTGCCCCAACGAGTGGTGTCTGGTTTTGTGATTCTTTCTCAGCGGAGAACGCCACACACATGGTGTTGGACCAGGTTTCATGCGGGGTCGAAACCAAGCCATTGCAGTGCTTTTCAAGGCGACTTGCCGCTGAATAACACAACATTTATACGGGTGTGTCTTTTTGCGGAGGAGCCCTTTTGGAAACCAAAGAAACAACATCCGGTTGGGGGTTCCAGCCATTTGGTTCTTCCTGACCCAGGACACTTTTCCTTTGCTTAGAACCGGCACAGAAGTGAGTGTGTCCTCAAAAAGCAATCCCCCAAGCTCAAAGGGGTATTTCTCAAAGAGACCTCTTTTGTGTCACTTCCGTCCTCATTTGGGCTTCGGTGTAGCCAAGGGTCAGGGCTCCAAAGGTTGCTAAGGAGGGCGTTGCGGGCGCCGCTCGTCTTGCAAGGTGGCACTGCTGTTCCGATGTGACGGGTACGGTAGTCAGGGTCAACAGAGCCAGGAATTGACGGCTGTCAGAACGGAAAAGAACAAAGGCTCAAGAATATGGGGGATGCAACCTCCGATTTGTCTAAAATAGTAAATGCAAAAATCAGTAGCCCCCAAAGTTCTACGTTTCAAGCAATCTTGGAGACTGGCAAGATACATAAGAAGCCTGAATTGCCCGCATGAGGGTGGGGCAAGTTTTTCACTGTTGCCTTGCAGCAAGCGAAGTGTTGAATGAGGCGAACTAGCTATTCAGGTTTTAGGCCCAGAAAGTTGATGGAACATTGTGCATGCTTGAAGTCTCCCTCCACGATGTGAGTTGCATTTGGTTCGGAGTTGCTTACAACAGCCCTGACTCAACTCAAAATCAAGTTGCGCGGAAAGCACGTGTTTTCTGAACCAGCCAGTCGCTCTTTCCTTGTGTCATTACTTCTGGGCTGCCCCCCGTGTAAGGACAAATTACTATGAGGGTGTCCAAGACTAATGGCTCGCTGTTTGGATGAATGGTTTGGAGTGGGGAACCGAAACCAAGGAACTGGAGGGAAGCCAAAAAACAAGGCAGGCCCACATCAATCCCCGGGCTGTGCAACTGGGTTTCACTTGCAAGAGGACTTGGGTGACCTGCAGTACATAGCAGAAGTCTCGCATGCGCCCTCAGATTGACAGGGTAGGAGGTCTGAGGGCGAGTGGAGGCAGGTCCAAGGGGAACAATCCCATTGTGGCAAGCGAAAGCCAGCCCCCAACCACCCACTCACAGTACTAATGTCGACCCCAGATTTATAACCTGGTGGACTTGTAGGGTGTCTTTTTCTAACAGTGAAGCATCTGCTCATAAGTGGCACACCACCTATTCGTCAAGCAATTTGTTTTTCCCTGTGTTCCAGTAGCATTGAGTCTTGTGTCGGCTCTGTCTTGAGGATTGGCTCCAGTTCTAGCACGTTTCGCTTGATGTCCAGCGCTCAATTGCAATGGAGATAGCAGCGGACTGCTGCGCTGATCCACCGGCTTTATGTAAATGGGAACCCATGTTTGCTTTGAGACAGAGTAAAGTGGCGAAACAGATGATGTTCCTATCCGTGTGCTTTCTTGCTTCGGATCCGCAATAGATCGCGACAGACTGTCCGGCACTTCCGAGTGGAACCACTGGGCTCCTGCCTCGCTGAGACTGGACACGGGCTCCTCAGCCCACGGCTCAGACCTGGTGCAGTGAACAGAGAGCCACAAGACCCAAAATGCTCAGGTGAGGGTTGTTCAAAATGAGGGTCCCCATTTGGGTGCCCCTGCATTTTCTCCGCTTTAGAAAGGGGGCTACGAAAAGGTCCAAAAGAGGAGCATGTCTTTGTTGAACAACCATCAGGTGCTTTGCCACAGACGGCCTCAAGAATGACATGAGCGTTTCATTTGCAAGCCCTTAAACTGGAAATCTCTTCGTGAAGGCGCACTCTGCATGGAAGAGTGAATTGGGAGTGTTTACATGGGCTTTGGGCCAGGGATTTATCGAACCGCATCTTTCAATGCTGTTTTGGGGCCAGATGGGAGCAGGGGTAGGACAGCTTCGTGCCGCCCGAGGATCTTTGGGTGTCCGGGGAGCAGTTCATACCATCGCTCTCAGACACATGGCTGCCTGGCCTGAGTTCACGAGCCTCCCCGGATCGTTTGGCAGATACTGGCATTTTGAACCCATGTCGCGTGCTGGGAATCTGGGGAGGCCAAGGCAAGTTGTCGGGGTTCGACATGGCAATGGCGGATGCATTGCTAGGGAGATCTTTGTTCGACACCGGTCCACCCCCTAGTGATCAATCAAGATTGTTTTGTCGCGGGTCAAATTGAAACAACCCTCACTATGTGACAGGACACGTATCACTGCGTGGACTCTGCTGAACCAGCAGAGTTCTGAACCGTACACCTTCAGTCCCAACAGCACGTCGCCAAGGACCCCGCTGCCGCAAGCTGGTCTAGCTCGGGCGCTCAGCCGAAAGCAGCAGAATTCCCGATATGTTTTGTGGTCTGGGCTTTGGAGTTTTCAGCTTGCCGTAGAGCCACAAATGCGAGATGTTCTGATTTGCTAGAATGCGGCGCCAAAAAGCTAAAGCCAGATAGAGCAGGCGTTTATGAGTACAAGCCAATTGTCAGTTCTAGGAATGAACTCTGACGGGCGAAATCAAATGTTCATTGCAAGACCCAGCAAGTATTGTATTACCAAAAAGGGATGCTACGGGAGTAACAGGCTGGCTGCGGCCAAAATATGCGTTCATTTTCGTCATGATGTTGCTGCTGTCGTTTGTCACTCTGGCTAACATAGTTGCAGTCACTGAAGCAAGAGTTCAGACAGCTTTGTTTGTCAGAGGTGCTGGACCAATCCGAGCATAGCAGGGTCATGAGCTTTTGGAGCATTGACAACCCCAAAATAGGTCTTGCATCGAGCTCCGCTTCGAGTTTCGGGCAGAAGCGGTTCTCTGGCACTGAGGTGAAGCTGGACTACGGGCAGGGAGAAGTGGAAGGAATCGTTGGCCGCAGCCCTGGGACGTCAAGAGTTCGGATGAACGAATCGGCAGGGGTTTTCGTTTAGTTGGGCATTGCATCACTTTTCTTTGCAAAGGTTTTCTTAGTGTTTTGTTTGGCTTGGCTCATTGTGGCTGGCTGCAAAAACACTCTATGTTTTGCCACTATAGCAAGGCTGGGGAGATTGGTTCCCCAAAGTCACGGAACACATGCGACAGGTTGACTATGTTTGATCTTATTCGGAAGACGAGGCTAGCAGAATCTGGAAATTGTTGCCATGTTGCTTCCATCGAGTTGAAGGACACAGGGCAGAAGTGCATGGAAGATTTGCAACGGCGTGCAATTTCATGAACATAGAGTCAAGAACCATTCTTTTGGGACCTCCATTTGCAGATTTTTGAAGCGTTTGGAATGCGTACCTGCTTTGACCAAGGTGTGGACAAAGCCTGCTTGCTGGCTAAGCCGGTTCCTCTCTGCGTCGAGCAGGAGCTTTTGGTGTGAGAAACTTGTTCAGAGATTATGCCTTGGCTAAACCCACAGTACATTTTGGGTGTGTGCCTTTTTTGAGGGACCCGTGTCACCTTGGTTTGAAGGGACTCCTAAAGGAGAACCAATATTTCTAGGGTCCCCTGTGTTGGCACATACCCGTATATACACAGTTGTTTGGTCTTGCAGCTGCTATGCTTGCATCGGCAGCATACGCTTTTCAATTGCATGCAAGCACAGGAGTTTCTGGTGGCGAAGCAGGTGAGTGACTTGAGCCTCAACACCTTTGATGGCATCTTGGGACTCGGCTTGCCCGGCCTGTCCCACGCCAACCAGGACTTGTTTGGACGTCCGCGCAGCAAACCGCCTTCTATTTTCGAAGCTAGCTCGGTTTCATGTATGTGTAGTTTTTCTCAAAGCAGATCACAGCCCAGCTGGACAACTAGACATGGTAGTCCTGGATAGGCAACATGCCCTTTGGTCCAACAGGGGCTTTCCCCAGTTTCATCATATGCGACCGCAAAGCAGCACACTCTCTCACTTGACTTGGAGCGTTTTCTGCTATCCTGTTTGGTGTAAGGTTATTGGGGGAGAAGCGACCCCCCCGCTCCGGGCTCCTTCCCAGGACTTTGTCCAGTCCCTGGCGCGGAGCTATCGCGAGGTGCAGTGCTTCTCCTTTTCGCGGGGCGGCACAGCGCGGAGATGTGTCGAAGGGGGATCCCAGGGGGGCCAACAGTTTTGTTGGGTTCCCTTTGAGCCAAGCGTACCATCAAGCCCCACAGGGATTTCTAGGAGAACACCCGCGATGGTTGGTGGACATCAACGCTGAGGTCCCAATTAACATGTCATATCCTTGCCCCCCAAGTCGGGAGTCGCCCCACCCACGCCGCCCTTCCATGTGTATACACATACTATACATGGTTTCCCAGGAGCGTGATGAAAATCACTTAAGTCGAGCCACACCACCGCACTGGGCCCGTTCCAAGGCGCCAGAGTACATTGTTCCGGCCTTGGGAGCAACTCAGACAATGCACAACGCAAGCTCAGGCTGAATCGAGAGGCGGGGCCGGGCATGTGCTTGCTCGAAAGCCAAGAAGCGCAGCACGCAGGAGGATGCCACGCCCCAGAGTGAAGAATTCAGCTATCAAACGCATTGACCGCTTTTCCAGGTCTATTCCTTAGAGAGACACTGTGCCTCTGGCAGCATGTTGCCAGTTGTCACGTTGTTTCGTTGTGATATCCAAGCATGTCGGATCCCCAAACCATGGCTGCAGTGCCAGAGTACTGCAAAGTATGCTTTGTGTTCAAGCCAAGTCTGCAGGACAGCAAGTCATTTGCACTGTTCGGGCCTTGTGCAAAGCTTCTTCGCGTTGTCCTCAGCATCTACATGCCGCATGCAGAGCTTGCAGACAGAGATGTTAGTCAAAGCACAGGGAGGCTTAGATGGCCTGTGATCCATGCCTTGGTCGCAGCAAGGGCCAGGAATGCCCACACGACATGGAGCGAAGCAGTACATGCCCTCATGGATGAAGCCTTCAACTTCACGCCATTTCATGGCTGAGCACACTGCATGGCTGTTTCTCCTGGCTTTCAGGTTCCAATGGTTTATTCAGAGGCCCTTTTCGTGTCGACGATCACCCGCAGAATCCTCGCTCAGGCAAGGCCGCCAAAGAGACGCACCTACCAGAGGAGCAAGCAGCTCTTCTGAGTGTTCAGCCCGCATCCCAGGGAGAGTCTCACCCATTCACATACACTAGACTCACGCATGAACTCTTCGGCCTTTTCCTTTTCACGTATAGCATGATGCTGGTCATGAGCCGAGACATGGGACTGTCCTTGTTTATTGGTGGTGGATCATTTCATCTCCAGGTTTGGAGAGGCATTTGGAAGTCTGCGCTTTGCCTGGTCCTTTCTGGGAGACTCAAAGCGAGCGACGGCCTCCCGCACCCCAAGTGACCCAAAGTCATGAGGGGAAGGACATCGACCCACTGCCAGGCGTTCGGGGCTGTGGAACGGATCGTAAAGTGCACTTGGGCACTTTGAGGGCGTGTGTAGCTCTAGGTTCGGGCGAAACGGGGTGTTTGTTGAAGTTGTGGACCTTATATGGTCTGAAAGGAACACCAGAGGGATCCGAAAGCTTGAGACACACTGGTGTCTATCTCAGGCGGCTTTTCGGGTTCGCGAGAGGCGGGGCCAACCAGCCATAGAGTCACTGAGCGCCTGAAGATTGGTTCATGCCTTGGTCGCCATTTTGGGGTCTTTGCCATGGTAGGACCACAGATTCAGAAGCTTTGCACAGGCTGGTGGCTGGTGTCGCTGGCGATTTCCTGCGACGGAACCAGAATTTGGCAGGCCTGAAAGGTCACAATAATTATTGCAATTGCAATTGAAGTTGTACGCAGAAAGGTGTATTGCTGGCTTGCTTTTGTTGCGAGCTGATATCGGCGCACAGTTGCTTAGCCAGCTTGCTACAAGTCCATCGCAAAGCGCTTTGCTGCCCGCCAGCACATTGGAGTGCCATCACAGCTCCCGATCGCTTCTTTTTGTGTTGCTACATCATATGGGTATGGGTCAAAATTAAACCACCAGTTTTGCTCCATGTTTCCATTTACCAGGATTCCATGTTGGGTACATATTTTTGACCCACCGCCACATCTTGGAATAGCCTTTGTTCTTGGTCTCGAGTCAGCTATCCATCGCCCGCCGACCGACCTGCAGGGCCCGGATATGTACTCCATCTGCGGGCCCTTGGCCCAGGAGCTGGCGGTGGCGACTGCAACGGCTCCAGACATGCCATGGGAGTCCATCCAATCACCAGCAGCCTCAAGTCTCGTCTCGGCCATGGGTGCTCGGAACTGAGTACAAAACCTGACAGGATGAACGTCAAACAGCTAAGAGAGGCCAACGACTCATGCGAAGCAAGATGAGTAGAAAATTGAAGCTGTTTCGATCGAAAAGCTTGCATTTGAGTCCCTTGTCCAGATCCCGTTTGCTCTTACTGCGGTCACGGCCACAAACCTGTGATGGTTCCCAAAAGTTCGGGTTTCCGTGATCTCCTAGTCCCACCTACTCGTGCCTGGTTAGTGGCAAGGCTGGAAGTGGCCGCCTTGCTCTTGCTGTCCCTCTACCCGGGCAGGAGGCTTCATGACGTTTCTCCATTCACGGAGCCTTTGCCCCCTTTCACAAGGATGCAAATCCGCAGCGGAAGCCTTGGGTGTTTCTCCCGGCAGAAAACTCCAACGAGGCCCAAAGATTTGGGCTCGTGAGACTTGGGCCATCTTGGGCCCTTCGGGCAGAGGGACTGCCAATGCGGCGACATTCCATGGATTCAGGGTAGCTTCGTTGAAGGGAGCAGTGAGGACGGCACTTTGAAGTCAGCCGCGCGGCCATGGGGCTCCGTGGGCAGGAGCTCCCGTGGCCAATCATCAGACTGTCGGGGGTCTTAGAAGACCAATGGGCCAGGAGCTTGTACCATGATGTGCACTGTTGGTCCGGTGTTTGATGCGGCTGCTGCAGTTTTGATCCCTCAACCTGTTTGAACCACAATCAAAATCCGGGCTAATGAAGCTTTGATGGACCACTTTGATACCAGGTTTTGATTATGGCTTGTTTGGGATGTGGGCCAGTGACTGAACGAAATCAAGGACCCACTCGCCAAGGGCAAACATATTTTCCGATTGGACTGACCTCAAATATTTGAAGTCTGTGACTTGGCGGTGAGATGTTGTGGTCAGTGAGATGAAACAACAGCTGAGGCAGGAAGCGCGTTTGCAACGCCTGCTTTGCGCTGTGTAGCTTCTTCCAGGCAAATGCACTGGATGCTTGGAGACAAGATATGTGTTGTCTATTCCAAAAGGATCCCTCAAGGTCCACGTTTGGACCACGTTTGGACCTTCCACCGCAGTTTTATTGGGATCAAGTTCTAAGAAGTAGACTACAGCTGACCCCTGAGAGAGTTCATTGATTTGTGTGGGTATGTCACCTTTCTCCTTTGAGCGCTTGTAGGCCTTGGTCTTGATGCTGCTGCTGATTGCCCTCCTTGTGCTTCTGGCTCCTATGGTGGTCAACGCGTTTCAGTCTAAGGCCAGGGTTGAGTGGGCGCCCACGCCTGGCCCGGAAAGGGACAAGATAGCCACGATAAGATTGATCTGATCAGCTTTGGATGCTGACTGCAGCTCGTTCTCCCGTGTGGAACCTAGCTGGAACGTGCCTTGCTGAGAACATGACCGCAGCCGCATTCAATCTTCTGACTGTAGAGTGTGCAATAATCTAGAGGCGATGATCCAAGCACCTTCGTGGGAGGTTCTTGTTGCCTTAGACACTGGAACATCGCTGATAGCCGCGGACTTAGTCGAACATCCTGAGGTGGACAGGCTGAATCACTCCAAAAGCATCATTACAGGGGGACTCGCAGAGCCAAGTGGCATGATCTACAAGGAAGTCTTTGGCTTCATTTGTTTCATCAACAACATGCGCCTTGTAGTTCGATCAGCACCTGAGCTTGGATTGCGCTTAGAGATCGCACATGAGAGTCAGAAAGAAGGACTCTTTCACGAGACATCCGAAGAGTGCATTTGTTTGTGACATGATGTTGCTCCCATCATGATCAGCCGCTTTGTGCAAGCTTCGCAGGAACACAGGGAATTGCAACACTGCCCGACCACCATGTCAAATCAGTCGCTCGCTTGACTTGACTGTTCTCAAGTCGATTCAACCGCTGAGAATGAAATGCGTAATAACTTATATAACCTGAGCGAGATATCAAGTCTGAAAGTTCAAGGAGCTGCCAAAACACCCCTTTCTTCCCAGCTTCCATGTAGTACCCCTCTTGCATGCTTTTCGTCCAGCGTGTTTCATGGCCCGACTTCCCCTTTGGAATGGTAAAAGCACCAAGTCAAATTTTTACATACCAGCAGTGCAAGGTAATAATGCACTTTAATGTGATGTTTAAACGTTTTCTGGAATCCTTGATGATGATTGTTGGGGTGCACAGTGTGGTCACACCTATGCATTGGGATATCTGCAGCTTTCATAGAATCCAGGTTGTTCGCTAGTATGACCGTGGAAGTGGAAACAGCTTGAGTGTCCCACTCAGCCCTTCTTGTAAATGTGGGCGTGTCTTACACTAGGGTGCTTTGAGTGTTTGGTTTCCTTTCAGCTTCTTTGTCAAACATCCACTAAAAGGGTACCGTTCACAAAGGCACAGCCGTGCGTTCGTGGCTTTGGCACTGGCGCTCACCTGGCACTTGTTCTTCTTCAGCGCGGCCATTTTGCGAGGGCAGCCTTTCCGGTTTTCTTTCAGAGGGGATCAACAAGAGTAAAAAATGAAGGGGAATCTGCCCCTCTGAAGGCTTGGGCTATGTTTTGTTTGAGGGTACCTTTTCTTTTGAGACGACGGGCCACTGCCCATTTTGAAGCTGCGACCTGGCGCCGAGGTCATCCCGACAGAGAACTTCCAGCAGGTGGCGGACGCCATGTTCGGGCTCCGCCAAGAGCTTGGCGGATCGCCCCACGGCTCGCGTGTGTCGATGGGGCCGCCTGCCGCCTTTTAAAGGGGATACCGAAAAGGTCCCCTGATTTTGACAACTAGGTCCCCAGTAGTGCCCTTTTACCCTTTCTTGGGGGAGGATTCCCTTACTAACATAGACTACAGAAAAAAGGGTACCCTTATTCTAACCTCTCTACTGGAGGACCTAGACAAACTGAACTTGATGATGGATCCTGCAAGCAGCCAGGAAACGAGCATCCACAAAGCAGGTTCAGGATCTGAGCAAAGGCCAATGGGTTTTGCGCACTCTCCTGCTGAGTTCAGAATGTTCACTAGTGTAATAGTGCATGAACCATTCATTCATCGGAGTGCGTGGGGTTTCTGGCAATTGGCTTTCTGTCTTTTGGCAAAAAAAACAAATAGCCGATTCATGCGGCGGTACTTCACCGCATAGTCCGCACTCGGGCTTTGTGCTGTATGCTCACACATCCGCGCGACGTGCTGCTGATGCAGACCGCGAGAGCATCCAAGCGGGTTTCTTTTCTGGCAAACACCTCTCGTAGTTTCAACTTGATGCTTGTTGAGTTTCCTTTTGACGGTTGATGTTGTTTCAGATTGGTTTTCATGTAGGCTGGTTGATGTTGGTTGTGTTCCAGGCTGGCTTGAATTGGGACTTGTAGGTGGTTGGTTGGTTTGGGTTCTGCGTCCCTTAGGTCTGAGAGACAGCTGCGTCCTCTCCAACAGCGAGCTGCCGGAGCCCTGATATCCAGGCCACGGTTGGTCCCCCTCGCAACGCTACCTGGAAGAAGACCAATGATGCAAGACTTGAGCCTTGGGGCCAAATCAGCCCAAATACAGCGACTAAGGCCAAGTGGGTGCGTACGTTGTTTTCAGGGCACCCTTTTCACCCTGGTTGGTGCGGAGCCAAAGGGAAAGCCCAGCCATGTTCGGGGTGCCCGATTTTGACGCATTGCCCAAAGGGCTGTGCTCCCTGATTTGCCCGCACAAGTAGTTGTTTTGAACATATAAATCATAAGAAGGGGTGCCAACTCCCAGCCACACCAAAAATCCGGGGAGTTTCATTGACACCACTTGTTGCACAACAACCTTTATGAAACAGGGAAGGGAAAGGCCGCCCTTCCTAGGACAAAGGTAGTACGATGACATGACCTTGTTTGTCCTCAAACGGCTAGACTTGAAACCAGAAGGCTCTCTACTTTGTGCCAGCAACCCAAGCGCCCCTTCATGTTCCAAAGTGCTGGGCGAGGTCTAATTTGTACTGGAGGCACCCACTCGCCGCTCCATGATTTATTTCCAGCTTGACTGTCATGTGTGCCAATGTGCGCAATTGGACATTGCTGTCGTGAAGGTACTTGGCCAAGGTGACACAAAGATTTGATGTGGATTGTTCACAGGCTTGCTAATGGTTTGGCGGTTCGGGCAGTTTCACATCACGGAAATATAATATGATTGCCCTGTTCATCGCCAGGCCAAGCAAAAAAATCAAACATATTAGCAAGACCGCATAAGGGACCTTTCACGGATGCCCCTAGAAATACAGGTCTTAGTTAGGCCTCACAAAGCTTTGTTTGGGGGAACCCCGTACCAAGGCCTCACAAGGACCCCTCGAGTGGGGTTTGCCCTGGGGGCGCCTTTGGGTTACCAGCCACGCCATGCCGCCGGCTCCGCGACGGTTCCGAGACCCTAGGCTTTGCGCCTGCGAAGTCGCGGCGGAGGCGGGGCCGACGCAAGCTGTCGACGGACGCATTGGGTTCGAGGGCTTTCGGCAGGAAGCTGTTTTCTACAGCTCGGATCTGGGTGTGTGTGTGTGGTTTGTTGCTGGCTTGTGCTTGTGTTCACTTCTGCGCTCAGAAGTTATCCAAGAAACAGCGCCCCTCCACCACATGCCACGCTCAGAACCTGCACCTTCATGCATGGTGGATTCCCTGGTGGATACTGCATGGATCCTGGTGAAACCTTTTGTGGGGCAAGAATCGTCGTGCTACCCTGGAGCATTGATGTGAAAGGGAGGGAATGGACTGGCCGCCGCTTTGGGTCAAGAGCCATGAATCTCAGAGTGGCCTACTGCCACAAGTCTTGGTTGAGCATTTGGTTGGTTCGTTTCAACCAACCCAACAAAAACCACACAGAATGTCATATCATAGGCATCATACCGTAGGCCAAGGCGTTGGACTTTCACTTGGGCGATGTGAGACTGAGCGGTGGTGCCCAGTTGCTCAAAGGTGACGTCGCAGCCATGGGTAGTGAGCTGATCATGGGGCAGTCTCTAAAATTGGACGAGCTTGGACAGATGTTGCTGTGCGTTCTTTCTATTGGGTGCACCTTCCAGGTTCCGCGTTTGAGACTGGACAGGTGTCCCATGGTGTCCCTTGCAGGCCGGAGGTGCTCCCTTTCCGTGTTTTGTTAACACCCCCAAAGAGGAGGAATGTCCACTGTGATATGCACATGCATGTGTGTGTGTGTGTGTGTTTTGATGGATTGTTGATCTCCCCTAGTTTTATTTATGCGACATCAAAGCTGCTTTCAGACATGTTGATGTGAATAATGGAGCTAAGGTCTGCATCCTCTTCAGATGTTTGCGAATGTGAATGTGGCCGCCTCAGCTTCAGTGTGGTCGAGAGAGGCGCGTCGTTTTGCCAACGCTCGCAAATGAGCCTTGGGCGTCGTGTGGCGGAGTCCGGAAAAAGCCAGGCCGGACCAACCGCCTGCCCTCCTTGACTTATCAGAGAGTTCATTGGGGCCGAACTGGCAAACCTTCTTAAACCTGCTCGAAACCACCCTCAGCCCGGCCGAATCCCACTCTGTACCTCCCTAAACCCATACTAAGTGCAACCAACATATGCCTCTACCCCGGTTTATCCTAATTGCCTTAAAGCACACCCTAACCCTACCCCAAAGCCCTCCCCTCCCTTCTCACGACCAGCCGGGACACCTAACAAGTTGCTGGTAGGTTCCTCCAAGCGAAGCAGGCTGACAAACCTTTTTTAGCCACGCGGGTTGTCTCAAAATAGAGGAGCCCCAAAACATGTGGTTTTCTTGGGTTTTCTCTGCAACACCCCAAAAAAGGGTTCGCCTCAAACAAGACACGGCCGCCCTTTGGTCACCTCAAATTTGAATGGCGCGTGGCCGAGGCCGAAATCCTCGGAGATCAGCCTGTCACGACCCCAGGAGAAAGGGGGGGGCTGACATTTGGGGCAGACCCCCCAAGCAGCCGGCAGAAGGCCAGAAAGCCTGTCACCAGCTCAGTTGTGTGCTTTCTGCTTTGAAGGTGCCCGTTTGAAGGTCGGTTGAGAAAACTAAATGGAAACCACACGTTTATGGGGGGTCCTCTGGTTGCGAGCTCTCTTCGGACATCATCCCCCGCGCATGGTTGCAGGTCACCCAGAAAGACAAGTTGCCTTCTCTTCCGGGAAGGACACACTCCAGTCAAATGTTGGCACGGCCGCGCGTCGACTTTGGGGCGGTTGTAAGGACAAGCAGATGAACCCCCTCGTTTAGGCAGATACCGAAATAATTTTGCCACTAAATTTGAGTCCCCCCCCCCCCCCGCTGTCGCTTGTGATTGTCACGGAATGGCGTGTGTTTGCCACGAGGCCTGCCGATCTGGCTTGGCCACGCAAGACCTCCGCTTCTGGATCCTGGGCGACGTCTTTCTGAGGCGACCAGTTGTTGCAAACTCTTGCGGACAGCGAGTCACGCACTCCAAGAGTTGGTGCCAATGGTTCTTTAGAATAGAATAATTATTCTGGACGTGCCAAATTGCAAGGACAACCACCCCCCGGGCATCGGTCGTCGGAGGCAAGCAGTGGTTGTCCACGATCCCCGCGGCAACGTCTCCATCTTTCCGAGGGAGACCTCACGCTCGCCTTTGCCTGTCGGGGCACCCAAGTGCATCTAGTTGTTGTTCTTTCTTTTTTTCTGACAACCTTGCCTCTCATCGGTTTCTTCATATGCTTGGCTCTGCTTTTTGTGGGAGCCTCGAGTAAGTTGGATGGATTTGGAAGGGGATTTGGAAAGTGGCTATCGGCCAGCAAGCAGAGTAGATAGCTTCAATAGCAAGAGTACATGTCAAGCAAGCAATCAGCTAGACGGTAGCAATCATCAAGGAAGCAAACGCTTTGCTTAGGGTTGGTACATGCTTGACCACCATGATAAGGCTTCTTACTTCGGGAACCCTGGCCATGGCCCACATTGAGGAGTTTTAGCCATGGCGACTTTGCCCTCACCCGCAGAATTCCTGCGGCCAAATGGAAGCTGTCAGCCTCGTCATTGAGAATCCACTGCAAATTTCAAAGGCGCTTGCTAGTCATAGTTTGATGTCATGGCTGCAGCATGGCCCAAGGGAGGCAGGATGACTATCCCATTGGCTCTTTCAGACCGGCAAAATGACTCGCTGCATGCCAGACTCCCAAACAAATGAGCGCAACCTGAAGCTTCAGATTCTTGCCCTCAGCCCCAGGATGCAAAAACTCAAGGGGTTAGTAGTTAGCTGCTTGGCCCATTGCTTGATCCGTGTTTAGTAGTTTTGGGTTGCCAAATGTCTGCTTACCTTGTAAAAGTCGGTCAGCTCCGCGGGGCGTCCGCTCCATGCGAGTCCTGCGCTCTGAGCCCAAAGAGAAGCGCTGCGCTGTCCGGCGCTGGCCCTCGGCGACAGGCCGAGGCCTGGAACCGGAAATGGGGCCGCACGGCGTCGACGCTTTGGAGCTACTTTGATTTGCACAAGTTGGTTTCAGGTCCTTTTGAAAAGTGGGGCTAAAGGTAGACAGTCACGATTCTCCTCGGACCCAACCCCAACCAAACCCGGGGCCTTTCTTGCAACAACTTCTCTCCGAACGCAGGCCTCCGCATCCTCATCTATGGGGACAGCTTGACGGCTGGGGCGCCCAGCATGGTGCCCTTCGCCCAGGAGCTGCACCGAGCGCTCGAAGGCGGCGCCGGCGCCGAAAGCTGCGAGGTGGAGACCACGGCCTGCGGGCTCTGCGCCTCTACGGCGCTGCAGATGCTGGCGGTGCTGGAGGAGTTGGGCTAAAACGTGGCCATGTTTTGGCAAAATTGGCTGCAACACTGTGGTAAGGAGTTCTGTAAAACATGGCAAGAAGGTGGAGGTTTGAGCCAGTTCTGTGGGAAGGCCCATTTTGTTTTGGTTCAGGAGCCCAACCATGATTACAGTTGATATGATCCGCTCCCGCCGGTCAAGGTCATGGAGAGATAGCTTTCGGAGAATCCCTTTTGCCACCTTTTGTGGTCCTCTCCGGTCCTTTCTGGACTTCTCCTTTGTCCCTCTAGACTTCTCGTGCGGGATTTCCGCTGTTAGGTCAATGGATGTCAATGGAACTGCGATAGCGGCAAAGGGAACATTTGTCATATGTCAAACAGTTTTGGGAGGGGGAGCTGGGCTAGGTAACCGGTGCCACGGAACTGCGGCCAAGATTTCTACGAATTGGCCGATCGCGTGATATCGCGAGCCATTTCATCAATTGCCGTCAGAGCTTCGACTGACGGATCTGCGGAGCCCTTTTCCTACTTTTTTTTTTTTTACGATTTGACGAGGAACGGATCCACAACTTCGAGCAACCCTTTGCAGAAGACCTTTGCAGAGCCTTATTTTCGCGATGGGTTCCGTGGTATGGCCATCCAACCCCGCTCCCATGTCTTTCTCAATATGTGTTCGGTAGAAAGGGACATGATGAAGCAGGAGGGTTGTGTATTGCTGGGGGCCTGTGCAGCGGAACCCCCTCAGAGATTGTCCAGACTTGAAAAGTAAAGTAGACTGAAGTAAGATACTTGCTGTGTCTGGCCATACACAAATGTTTTTACATATGATTGTTTTGTTTTTTCATATCAACAATAGTACTAGCAATAGTAATCAATAGCAATAGTAACAGTAATCGTACAATAGTAGTAGTAGTAGTAGTAGTAGTAGTAGTAGTAGTAGTCGTAGTCGTAGTCGTAGTCGTAGTCGTAGTCGTAGTCGTAGCCGCAGTCGTAGTCGTAGGCGCAGTACTAGCGCCAGTACTAGCGCCAGTACTAGTGCTAGTACTAGTGCTAGTGCTAGTGCTAGTACTAGAAGTAGTACTAGCAGTAGGATTAGTATGACCATTAGTAGTAGTATTGGTTAGTAGTAGTAGTAGTAGTAGTAGTAGAATGAATGAATGAATGAATGAATGAATGAATGAATGAATGAATGAATGAATGAATGAATGAATGAATGAATGAATTAATGAATGAGTGAAGGAATGAAGGAAAGAAGGAAGGAATGAAGGAATGAAGGAACGAAGGAATGAAGGAATTCAGGAATGAAGGAATTCAGGAATTCAGGAATTCAGGAATGAAGGAATGAAGGAAGGAAGGAATGAAGGAATGAATGAATGAATGAATGAATGAATGAATGAATGAATGAATGAAATGAATGAATGAAGGAAGGAAGGAAGGAAGGAAGGAAGGAAGGAAGGAATGGATGAAGGACTGAATGAGATGGATGGATGTATGGATGGATGAATGGATGAATGAATATATGAATGACATCCTATATACATAGCAATAAAACCAATATGTGTAATAATACCAATATCAATAACAATGATATTCACATTAATATTAAGAATAATAATACATAGTAATAGTAATAACAACTAATAATAATCGTAACAATAATGCTAAACATGACAATAAAAAATACTAACACTGTTGATTGATTAATTAGTCAATAGTATAGCGAACTAAGCAATAACGGCAATCATGACAAGTAATGATCTTAACCATGATAAATCTGATACTATTAATAATAGTTCTAGTGATACTACCAACAATAGTCTTGATATTTAATGCACACGTTAGCAAGCTTTGGAATAAGTTTGGAGCAAATGTTGGCAAGTACTTCGCAGAACACCGGCAATAGTATTGGCAATAGCTTTGGCAGTTCTTTTTTGTATAGGGTTGGAGAGTAAGTTGGAGAGGCGTGTCTTTAAGAGGGGTTCGGGCGGGTGGCCAAAATGGATAAGGGGCCGCCGGAGGAGCCCTATGTGGTAGATGCTCTTGGTGGCAGCTGGGGCTCAGGGCTTGTCCATCTGGCTAAAGAGGCGAGCTTAGCGATCATCATGGCTGGCACCAATGATCTGGCCTCGCCTGCGCCGGCCGGCGACGTTTCAAAGGCCATACAGGGAATGCTTCCGATCTGAACTTGGCAGACCGTTTTTTTTTTTTTTTTTTTTTTTTTTTTTTGCGCGCTTCGCGTTTGGAGTTCCTATCATTCCAACCTAGCGTGGTAGATGCTTGCATGGCTTCTGAGGGCAGAAAAGGCATGTGGCTTGCCATCGCGTCGGAGTACCTACGGTGGCTTTAGGTGTTCCAGATGCTGGTGGTCGGTTCATTCGGCGACTTGGGCAGGCACTGCCCACCAAGCGCCGTGCTGTGAACGCAGCGCTGGCAGTATGGGCACGGGAGGGATTCGAAGATGGGACGCGCCCAGAACTCTTCATCAACACGTCAGCCCTACTGCCTCACGGTCCCAGGAGCAGACACACCGCCTCAGTTAGCAAGTTGTCACCAAAGATGCTGCTTTCTGATCAAGTTTTTGCAGCACCTTTGAAGCAGCGTTCTGTGGGACCCTGTCTCGTGTTGCTGCTAAGGCAAATTGTGCGTTGCGGTTCACAACAACCGGTGATTAATGATTTTATCATTTTGCTCACCGAAACCTGAATGAGCACAATAACAGCAGCTAAAGAACATTTAGCACCCAAGCTGCATGGATTGTTTGACACCCAACATTTCTTGCAAGATTTCAAGCTAATCGGAGGACGCGCCGGGCACTGGGAGCGCGACGGCGTCCACTTCACCGCGCAAGGCGCGGAAGCTTTGGGCGCGCGCCTGGCGCGGATTCTGCGGCCGCTGGTTCAAAGGCGGGACGCTGAAGCTTTGGGCAGGTTCCAAGGAACCCGCGGGTAGGGCTCTTAAAATTCATGTTCTGGCAGGTGTGGCATTTAAGGCTGTTGGGTTGTTTGTTGCGGATGGTTTGCTGTCAGGGGTAATGGGGAAGTTGGATGGCTGGGAATAGCTGGCAAGGCTTTTTGGAGGAACACATGCTGGTTGCAAACAAAAAGAAGCTGACTGTGATTCGTTTGTGAAGCAGGGCGGAGCACAGGCCCTGCCCTGGCTGGCTGCGGCAGCAAACGCCATGGTGGTGTGGTTGGCTACCAGCAAAGCGGAAATCCTTGCTGGCCAATGGCAAGGCAGCGAGCAGGCCTTCAGCAGATGACATGTTTATCAGTTTATCGTTGCAATGACAGTTGCTGGTCCCCGTAGGCTAGAAGCGGACGCCTTGGTCAAGACCGCCGCTGACGGGCCCATCCCATCTCTTGATGCTTTCCTGGAGGCGTTGGATTTGGACGAGGTGGGCCACTGCCGACGGACCCCAGCTGCAGAAACCTCTGACTTCAGAAAGAGGATGCCTGTTGAACCCTTTTGCGACCCCCTGACAAAAGTTCAAGTCAACGGCAGGGTCTGAAATTGGGACGGTTCCTCTTTGAACAGCCCTGCATGTACGTATTTTGACCAACCATCACTCAAACACAGCCATTCTGAGCCAAAGCGACTAGAACACGACTGACTTAGAAGCAACCACATCTTTCAGGCTGAGCCGGCAGAGCCCGAAGCCTACTGCATGGACCTTGCGGGAGAAGCGGCTGAGACCATTCAGTCCTACTTCAGATTGCGCAAGCTTGAAAAAGGTTCGCCTGTGCGCGGAGAGTGCACACGCACGGTTCCGACAGGCAAGTCATTAATCCTGCTGTTTGCTTTTCTCATGCCGTGGTAGGTCGCGCGGGACTTGATGAGTCGAAGAACATTCCCCCCCTTTTTGCGTGTATATCCTTCCGCCACCCCTACATCCACCCCCTTAGGGCCCGAAAATGCGGGGATGCCCAGGTGACAACAGCGGCAGTGCCAGCAAGCACTTGGACACCAGTGCTTCTCATGCTGAGCTCTCAACCACGCGCGTGACTTCTGGGAAGGCAAGTGCAAGATGATTGTGCTCTCAAACATTTCAGATGGGCCACACAGAGGCAAGACTTGCATATGCTATTTTCCTGAAGCAATGATCCTGAGGCAGTCTTCAACATGTTTCAAACTGTCGCAGATACTAGCTTTGTTTATTCTAGATCGTTTCTGCTTGAGGCGCTGGGGATGGATTCACTTCACTAGTTTCTCCGGTTTTCCTCCATCAGCAGGCTGATGGATCACGCAAGGCCTGTTTGCTCCTGCGCCTATCAGCTCAACGATACTTGCCCCGAAGCCGAGGCTAGCGCTGCCTCTGGCCGCTGCAAGGCTGGATGCAAGGTTCTTGTCTCAGACCAAATCTGCCCCGTGCCGGTAGAACATGGCGAGATGAACAGAAGTAAGAGGCTCCTTTGATTCAGATGAATGATTTGAAGCGATAGTTGCTACTTGAGCGGACAGCACTGTGTTTGAGCTCCTTTTGAATTGGATGTTGACAGCCGTGATCAATCTTTCCTCAGGGAACCTACTGTAACAGAGGAGCATCATGCAGAAAAAGCCTTCTGGACAGTGTGCAAGTTTGAGAGGAATCACCCTTCGCCCAAATATGTTGAATGCCTGACCCATGTCGATGAGGTGTTGGCCGAGTTAGCACACCCCACGCCCCGGCAAGCATTGAATTGCTCAGAGGAAAGACTGTAGTCTGCGCAAAGGGTTGATGCTCTTTTCTTGTACTATGTGGGAAACCAACGCACGCTGATCCAGGCTTTGCATGCTTGCGGTTGGGGGGGGCTTTTTGGGGGAGCAGGGCCAGGACAACGGGTCTCTGTGCAGCGCTTTCTCCAATCGGTCACTCCCATCTTCCAGGTCGCGGGAGGACGGCCCGGGTCCTCGGTTTTGCCGCGGTCTGGGAAAAGACTTCGGGTCCCAAGCGTCGAGTCGCGGCTTCAATTTCCCGCGCCTGGCCAAGTTTCTTGGCTGGCATCACTAGCTAAGTGCAGACGGACAGGCTCCATTGCTCAAATGATAAGGCTTCCTTTTCATATGTTTGTTCAGAGGCCGAGGCGTGCATTCCAATACTACATGTGTGAGACTCGTCACGGCCTTTTGTCTCTTGTAGAGGGCAGGGAGGATGGTGTGAAAGAAAGGGAAAGACCAGATTTGTTTCACTTTCAGCTTGACAGGCTTCAAGGGATACTGCACTTATAGCTACCTGCGTCGCCTCACCTGCACCTGACAGTAGGTATATGTCCGAGCGCTCAGCCACAGCTGCCTTTCACTGTGAGGGCTTGAGAACGCCTTTTTACTCGTTGCAGGAGCACAGGCCGTTCTTCTTGTTCGCAAACTCATGCCCGTGCCGCGTATGCTTTCGGCATACTTCCAGGGTCTTGCTGCACGTCGCCGAGGCGAGCTGGAGCAGAGGCTGTTGGCAACCTGAGGAAAATATGCGATAGTGCGGCTGAACGGCTGGCAGGTCCGGCCTAGGGCATGTTTGATGCATTGACGGTGACGCAGGTGTTCCTTCAATCTATCAAACATGTCATGTTGTCAAGGGGCGTCTCAAAAGATTGCCGCCTTGTTCTTCCTAAGATCATTTTTGTTGCTTTTGGTTCTGGTCAAAGCAGATCCAACAATATTTCCGTTCGACACCCCCCGCCACTGTCTTACATTGCTTGCCCAACACCCGCTCAAGCTTGGGGCGGTGGGATTACACTTACAAACAACGCATGGTGTAGAAGATGTGAGGCCAATATTTCTAGAGTGTATGAAAGCTAGATTTAAAGCTTTTTGCCGCCATCACCTCGTACTGTACCTCCTTGAATCAAATTACACTGCCCTTGGTCTGCCCTTGTCCTTCAATAGCCGCCAGCGAAGTCATGCAGTGTCAAGGGCCGGCGCCAAAAGTCAGTTGGCATGGGTTGGTTGAAAGCAACAAAAGGAAAGCCACCCATTTCGGCGTCCAAATCCAGCTTTTGAGACACCTTTTTTGCCTGAGTCTTCGGATTTTGAGCGGGAGTTTGCCGTGCGCCGTGTTGGCTCGAGAAGAGAATGCAAATGCAATCTTCAGGTTAAGTACCGGAGGCCGGGCTGCAGGGTTTCCTGGCCGGAAGAGGGGGAACTCTGGCATAGATTCCAGGTGCACTCATATCTGAGCAAGCCTGGTGGGCGCATGTTGGCGCACTGATTGTTGTCTGGCACGGAACATGGAACTAGTTGTTGTGACTCCTTGCCAATCATCCAATCAATAGCTTAATAGCCTTTGCACAGAGGTTCCTGATCTTCTCATCACCGGAGCCCTGGATTGTTTTAATATTTCAGCGGGGTATCGCATGCCCATGGATGCGTGCGTCCCCGTTTCAGCCTGAGGCTTTGTGTCAGTCCGTGGCATGAGATTCGCCAGGCCTCAGGCGTGATGCCTGATGAGGGTGAGCCGTGCCCCGAGTCAGCTCTGGGGCAGTTGCCAGTCTGACACCTTTACACATATGGTATATCTGTCCTCTATGTGACTGGAACCCTGTCACAGACATGCCATAAGAAGCAAAACACGGCTGGAACCCTGTCACAAACATACCATACAAAAAGCAGAAAGCAACAAGCTGAAGGTCTGTGTTTGGAAGTCCCTTCAATACGTTACGGCGGTGCCGTTCGCGCTTCTTCGAGGCCTCCAGTGGAGTGGGTCTTTGAAGTAGAAGACGGCCAAGCCGAGGAGGCTCGCTCGAGCAGCGGATAGCCGCGGCGATTTGTCGAACCCTGCGGTTTTTGGGCTCAATATTGTGAGACGTGGTTTCACACAGCAATTAAGTTTCTCTGGGTCTTATTACTTGTTGTTTTTCAAGAGGGAGCACACTTGCAGACGGAGTTTGACCTTTACGTTCGGACGGCGCCATTCAACACATGCACCTCTGTGAAACCCAAGGCCTTTTTCATAGAGAAAGCCCTGAAAGAACAAAACACGCTAAGATCACTTAATTTCAATTGATTAGGATAATGTGAAGGGAGTTAGGCTTGAGACGTCGAGTGTCGACAGGACAAGTATGAAACTGCTTGGCGATTTGAAATTTCGCGGGATACGAGACTTGCAGGAGTCTTGAATCCCTTTGATGAAGATATCTCAAAACATACTTGTATTGCTCATCCTTTCACAGAGGGTGGAATCTGGCAATTGTGCAGCAAGGTGTTGTTTCTTGATGTTTCTGGCCCTGGGAATCCTTGCTAGAATGTACGTTCTAGTTCCGTCTCTGTCAACATGCTAGACATTGCTAGCTCAGCTGACTGCGTTTCATCTCTATAGATCAAAGCGTTGCCTCGACCTTATCCACTGGTGGTGCTCGCCATAAAATCAATTATTGCGGATTTTGGTTAAACACATGATACATATATTACATGATGTATGTTCATATACTTCTATAATATAAATGTAGACATGTAACACGCGGCGGTACACGCATTTTCGAGCCAAATCAGCTGCGTAGAACCAGCCCCGTCCGGAAGAAAATGAGGCGGGGGAGGCTGAACATTGCAATCGGGGATTCAGAAAGCAAGCAAGTGGGGACTGTCCAAAAATCGATGACCGTTTCAAAGCCTGTTGTTTGTTAGCTTGTGCCATGGAACTGGGTTCCCAAATGGCTCAACCCAACCGCGAAGCCCGAGGTACTACATCCACCTCCTTCAGGGCCTTCCAACAGCTGGCTGCCCGGGCGCCAAGCTGGGTCAAAGGCTGTCCTGGCTGCAGGATGGCGGGGACATGTCGGTATGTGCCAGCATAGTGCGCCCCCCCCCCCCTGCAAAAAGAACGGTTGTAGTGTTGCTTTAACCAACCAACAACCGGGTACCCTCCAAAACACATGCGCACACGCGCACGTATTGTGATTGTGTCTTGAGAGAGGGGTCGGTTCCTCCCTTCAGCAGGAGGCATCCTTTGCCATTGCAGGGGTGAGGATCAAGCAAAGCAT